AAAAACCAGAGAGAGCCAAAACCGGTTTGGCTCAGTGGATAGAGCGTCGGCCTGCGGACTGAAAGGTCCCAGGTTCGATTCAGGTCAAGGACATGTACCTTGGTTGTGGGCACATCCTTAGTAGGGGATGTACAAGAGGCAGTTGGTCGATGATTCTCTCTCATCGATGTTTCTAACTCTTTATCCCTCTCTCTTCCTCTCTGTAAAAAATCAATTATATATATATATATATATATATATATATATATATGGGGTTTTTTTTTTAAAGAAAGGCTTCCTTTGGTATCAAGAGGAGTCCAATGTGCAAGCACATGTGTGCCGCTCTCATTAAGCCTCATTTCTCCCACAGGGAGGCCAGGAGTGACCTCTGGGTGGGGTGTGAGGTCCTGGTCGCCAGGGGCTGGTGGGGGGAGGGGGGGAAGGAGGGGGAGCAATGGAGAATGACTGCTAATGGGTATGAGGTTGTGTTTGGGATAATGAATATGTTCTGGGATTACATAATAGCGGTGGCAGCACATCTTTGTGAATATGCTAAAAATGACTAATTGTACACTTTAAGAGAGTGAATTTTATTTTATGTAAGTCATAAATTTCCTTTTAATTCAGGTAGTTCCAAGTTTATTAAGACTTCTCTGGGGCCGCTGGTTAGAGTTCACTACTCCCTCTTGAGCACACCTTTATTGTGAGCTGGTGTGATTTGGGGGCAATATTCCAGCCTCCTTTGATTTAAAAAAAAAAAAAAATATATATATATATATATATATATATATATATATATATATATATATCTTTTATTGATTTTTTTTCACAGAAAGAAAGGGAGAGGGATAGAGAGTTAGAAACATCAATGAGAGAGAAACACCAATCAGCTGCCTTCTGCACACCCCCTACTGGGTATGTGCCTTGACCAGAATCAAACCTGGGATCCTTGAGTTCACAGGCTGATGCTCTATCCACTGAGCCAAACCAGTTAGGGCTAGCTTCCTCTGATTTTTAAGGGTTCTCTAGACAGGCAGCTGGGAGACTGATTACAAGGGCCTTCAGTGCCAAAGTAAAGGCTCTCTTAAGTCCTGGAGTGAAATTTCAGTATATTTTGGTGTTTATTTTTACACTAGAGGCCTGGTGCATGGATTCTGTGCACTGGTGAGATTCCTCAGCCTAGCCTATGGGATTGGGCCGAAACTGGCTCTCTGACATCTCCCAAGAGGTCCCGGATTGCAAGAGGGCAGTTCTCAGGTAACGCACCTGGAATTGGGCTCCCTCCTCTCTGGTTTTGGGCACATTGCCTGAGAACCACAGCTGCCAAGTCACCACAGCTCAGCAGCTCTTGTGTTGAGCGTCTGCCCCCTGGTGGTAAGTGGGCATCATAGCTACTGGCCAATAGGCCAGTAAGGTGCTCACTTAGGCTTTTATTAGTATAGATAATATATTTTAAGTATTTGAGATCAGTAAAATAAAGCATTTAATACATTTCAAATAAAACATTCATAAGCATAAGCAAAATGTAAATATACTGAAATAATAAAATAAACATTCTAATATTAAAATAAAATACTGCTTAAAGTAAGCACTAAATAAAATAAAATTTAATTGGAGTTAAAAATGAAGTAATATCATGATCTTTTTAAAGTGATAGTGCTCATCATTGATCTGTGAAAAACTTGCCAGTTGCTGAAAACTCCTTTCAGAATTTATACTAGTTAAGGGAATGATAAAACAATAGAAGAGATAGTTTTAAGCTGTGCTTAAATATTTTTCTCTAGCCAATTATTTTCAAAGAATCCGCCCTCTCTCTCTCTCTCTGTCTCTTTCTCTCTTTTTAAATATATTTTATTGATTTTCCACAGAGAGGAGGAGAGAGGGACAGAGAGCCAGAAACGTCGATGAGAGAGAAACATCGACCAGCTGCCTCCTGCACACCCTCCACCGGAGATGTGCCCGCAACCAATGCACATGCCCTTGACCAGAATCGAACCTGGGACCCTTCAGTCCGCAGACCGATGCTCTATCCACTGAGCCAAACCATTTTCGGCGTGAATCCTATCTCTTGGTTGAGAACTCTGAGGAGATTTTTTGGGGGGGGAGTGGACAATGCTTTGTTTCCTTGCAGAAACTATTTTTCCCCCATCTATAACAAGCTAGATTGGTTTTTGCTTCAAAGAAAGTATTTCTCATTTGTCTTCATCTTCCTATCTTGACTCATATAAGTGGAGAGTCTAATGCAGACTCCATATTAATACCAATAGCGTTCTATTAATAATACAAATAGTTTCCATTGGTTTGAAAGTCTTTATAACAACATTTCAATAATATATATATAATATGGAGATAGACTGAACAGTGAGCAGAACAATCAAACAACCAGTCGCTATGATGTGCACTGACCACCAGGGAGCATGTGAGGAACATTGGGGGCATCGGCAGTAGGTGGCAGAGCACAGAACATGGCAAGCATTGGTGGTGGCAGGATGATGGAGCAGGTGAGCAAGGGGGGAGCGCCAGACCAAGGCAGAGTGCTGGTCGCTGTCATCTGGATGATCCTCTGGTGGTTACTAAAAATTCTTTGTTCCCACACATTGTGGTTCTGTCCAGTGCTTGCACCTGCTGCCAGCATCAGGGCGCAAGCGGCGGCTCTGATTGGTCGGTGCCGGTGCTGTCAGCAGGTGTGAGCAGTGGCTGCCCACCCCAATCGCCCCTCAGGGCTTCTTCACCCTCCCCCTGCTCCTGAGGGGTGACTGGGGCCAGCAGCTGTTGCTTACACCCACTGCTGATGCTGTCCTGCTGGCACCTGCAGCCAGTGCCAGAGCCGCTACTCACACACATTGCCAGAGCCTGGCTGCAGTCCCGATCAGTGGGTGCGAGTGGCAGCTGCTGGCCCTAATCGCCCCTGAGGGCATCTCCATCCTTGCTCCCATTTCCCCCTCATTCCCATTCCTGAGGGTGCCATCAGAGGGTGTGAGTGGCCGGTGCCATCAGCACCTGGGAGTAGAGGTAGTAGGAGCAGAGCTGCCTGCTGGCAGACAGCAGTGGAGGGGGGGTCACGGGGAAGGGCCGGACAGGGGCATGGAGGATGGGCTGAGACCCACTCCTGTGCCTACTGCAGCCTCAGGGTCCACAGTTCCTTTCAAGGTGCACGAATTCATGCACTGGTATATCCTATGAATTCATTCAGCAAGTATTTATGGTCAGCAAGTACTTACCATGAGCTTGGCACTGTGCTCACGACTGGAGATAAAACAGTGAATATCATGATTGCTTCTTACCTAATCTCATGGTTAACATTGAGTTTTGGGCATTGTATTAAAAGACAATTTGGACATAATAAAAAAAAATTGACTCTCAAAAAACTTTAGATTTTATTAAAATCTGCTCAAATCAACCAAGGGGAAAAAAAAAAAAAAAAAGACAATTTGGTGGAAGGAGGGCTTACTTCCCAAGCCAGCCCTGCCTGGTGGTAAAACCAGGGTCACAGTGTCAAGTTCTCCCCATCCCCCAACTCTGGAGCCATCCCATCCCCAGAGCATGATTTCAAGATCTCTCTCTTCTCCGTTTAAATTGCAGCTTACTACCACTACTCGCACTGCACACATCACACATCAAGTATCTGTAGGACTCCCCAAGGCTGGTCTCACCTGTGCTGACAACATTCAGTGCTTTCAACTACCACATGGAGCCTGTGTTTTCCCACCTAACCGGCTCTGGCTTCCTGCAGATCTGCTGAGACATCCCCAGCACCGAACACTCCCTAGGACGTTCCTCCGCCCCCACCCCCCAACCACCTGCAGGATGAACCGCTGCTATTGCTCATGCAGGTCAAAGGTGCTGCTCCTGACGGCTGAGAGGTCTGGCCCAAGCTGCCAGAATGCAGGGTGTGGAGGAGGGCGGCTGCCCGTTATGCAGGAGGCATGGATGCCCAGGTACCAATATCCCATGGTCTGGAAGCGGTCTGATGTGCTAGAATTCTCAGAGATGCTAATGCTGCTCCTATATCAGGCCTTACTGCTCTATAAAGCTGCGCCACGTTTTCATGGAGGTGTTAACAGCTCTCTCCAACCCATATGTAACAAACTGGGCCGCCCTTCATTCCACAGGTTCCAAGGCTGTGTGGCCTGGTGCTCCTGAGGTCTTAGGAGGTGGACTCTGGAAAACCAGCTTTCGGCTTCTAATCACATCAGGACAATTCACTCTGAACCGTGCGTCCTCAGGATAGGCCAGGAGAAAGAGTGACAAGGTGTAGTGTTCCCAAGTGGCCCTTCCCCCAAGGAGGACATTCAGAAACCTCTGGCTTGGTGAACCCCGTTGAACTCTCAGGAGCCATACTCCCTACATATATTCCCTTCATATGTGGTCCAGTTGGATTCAAGGATAGACTTGGGAATGAAGAAAGAACTGGTTAGATGTCAGACTCTCTCACAAATGCTTCTCCTCTCAATGTGACCTTCACCTTCAGATAGACGCTGATGGTCACATGGTGCCCTGTTGCCAGGATCCGGAACACAGGCCTGGGGTAGTTGTCTAGTCAAGAGAACCAGACCAACGGGTGGGTAAGGCTGGCTTTCTTCTTTGTAACTTAAGGTGCTTAGTCCCTGTGACACCTGCAGACAAGGCCTGGAGTTTTCCACGAGAAAACAGTCTGGATGTAAGTACACACATCCGTGGGTTCAAACATCTGCGTGTTTTGCGATGATTTAAGTCTCTTTCAAGACGGGGCGAGAGGGGACAGCTCATGAAGATTAGCGCCCAGTGCTCCGCTCTTAGCTTCAGCAACCCCTCCTTCCAGGACTTCGATGAAATCGACTACACATACTGGACCTAAAACCCTGCCCTCCATACCCAAGTCTGTCACTGTCCTCAATTCCTACTCTACCCGCCTGGCAAACTGCAGGCCACCAGTCCTGGAGAAGACAAGTACCAACCTGGAGGGGGCGGGGCGCGGGGCGCGGCCTCTCCGCGCGCAGCCTTGTGGGACTTGTAGTTCTCGCGTCTCCACTGCGGGACGGGCGTCGCCGCGGGACTGGTTCTCCCGTGCTCCTCCGCGCGGCGTCGCGGGGTGCGGGCCGGGGAGCCGGTCCTGGCTGCGGGTGGCGGTGGGTGCAGGGTGCTTGCAGGAAAGTGGGACCCAGCAGTCTGTTGGGGGTGTCGCTGTCGCCGAGGAACTCAGGCTGGTTCCTGTCCCTTCCAGAGTGCGGGAGGCCCGAGTTGGGATAGAAGTTTAAGGTTCCGCGAGGCGAAAGATTGGGAACTGACCCCCGCCCCAGGCTGCAGCTGGAGCGGCCGGCCCCCCGCGGGTTAAAACCCCCAGGGAGCCCTCCGGCTCCCACTTGGTCCTCACCCTTCCCACCCGGGGGCCCAGGGCTCGGGGTCGCAGCGGTCCCACATTGGGGGGCCGGATGTGCGCGCCAGCTGCTTCCCGGGAATAGGGGGCGGCTGCTGAGCCCCGAAGCCGGCGAGGGGTGTGCGCCCCGGCGCCTCCTCTCCGGGGGCAGGGGGGCCTCGCCATGGCCAGCCGGGCCTTCGGGGTGCGCAGGTGGGCGCCCGCGGGCGCGCTGGCCTCGCTGGCGTACTGGGCCCAGCAGCGGCGCGGGGCCCGGGCCGAGCCGCGGGGGGCGGCCGGCGGGCTCCCCGCGGACCGGAGCCGGCTGGAGCTGAAGATGGTGCAGGTGGTGTTCCGGCACGGGGCGCGGAGCCCGCTCAAGCCGCTGCCGCTGGAGGAGCAGGTGAGCGGGGGCGGGGACCGGGGGCCTCCCGGGGACACCCCTGTGGAATTTCATCCTCTCGGAGCCGGCTCGGGCTCTGTCCAGACGGAGTGAAAAGAGCCGTCTCCAGTTCACCCCCTGGCTCTTGAGCAGAGAAAGGTGCTGGTCTGGAGACCGCCCTCGCCTCACCCCCCTGGGGCTCCCTGGGCTGCGGCTGTGCAACTTCCCCGGGCGCCCCTTAAGATTCTGATCCAGCCCGGTGGCTAGGGCCTGAGATTCTGCGTTTCTAACAAATAGTTGTGTGACCTCAAGTACAAGGGTTGAAGTCTATTTCCGTGTGAGGGCGTTTGAAAGCTGTCAGAGTTGCAGAGACCTTTGTGACAGGAACCACCCTCACCGCGATCAGAGTGGGTAACAGATTTGGGAGCAGCTTGCTCAGGGTTCGCAGGAGACCGTGTGGGATTTCCCTGAAGGCTTTTTGGTAACAAGTGCAGGATCTTGGGGTTCTTTTCTAGTTGGGGTTTCTAAACCTGTTGGGGAAGGGATTTGAGGCAGGAAAAAAAGTTTAAAAAGTAGCGACTCTTGTGATTCTAAGGTCTTAAAATTATGGTCAGGAAAATTATGATTAAAGCACGCATTATTAGCTTTTTAAATACCTTTTCTGGAGTGAAGGTTTCTGGCCTCCCATGGCAGGAGGGCCTGGGACTGACGGACTGGCTTTCAGTGCAAATGACTGTGCAGCCTGAAGCCTCAGGCCCAGCCTCCCTCTCACCTGTGAGGCTTGGGCATTGTCAGCCCTCCTGTCGGATGTCCAACTTGGAGGCATGCCCTTCAGAGTCGCTGTCCAGAAACCCTTGGGGCTGTGTGCTCACATTGTGCACTGAAGCCCCAGTTTTAAAGCTGGCCACAGAATATTCCAACTTTTCAAGCTCTTCCCACACGAGTCAGTCTTGGTTGGCACTTAATTCTTCTACCGGATTTCTACAATAGCTAGCCTTTCCGTATGGCTGTCCCACTTTCTGGTGCTGGAATTTCTTTTCTTCCCCCTGCCATTCCTTCCTCCCCTCCGTCCTCTCTCCCTTTTTCTTTCTTTGGCAATCCCTCACTTTGCCTCTGTATATTGGGTCGCCACATTTTCCTCACGATTTTGCACATAGCCCATCTCTTTGCACTCTCCCTCATTCATTTATTCTTGGTACAGGAAAACTGGAAAATAACATACAGGAATAGAGGACTCATATAAAAGACAAAATTATGAGAACTAAAGTCTGAATGTCTAGTCCTGGACTTAGTGTACAGTCATGAACCTAAATTTTTTTTTTAAGGGTTTCTCCTGAGCCGGGTGTGTGTGACGGTATCCTTTGCCTGTATGCTGCGGTTGTAGTTCAGGAAGAATGCCCACTCCATCCACCTTCTGTCTGTACTGCCACGGGAAAATGGAACACCCGAGTCCCTGGCCTCACTCTTCAGTAAGGAAAGGCAGGGACCTCTCCTGCCCGCACACATTCTCCAGACTTTAGGCAGATGCACTGATGATCTTTGCTATCTTGAATGAAGTCTTATGCACACAACTGGGGGGTGGAACCAGCCCTCTGTTTGAGCTGTGAGCTGGTGCCGTCGGCCTCCTGTCACTTGTTTTTGGAGCTCTTCTCTCAGGCTTTCTTTTCAAGATCCAGTTTATTAGAAGTTGTTACTGGGATTTTCTAATCTTCCTGGTTCTGCTATTAAGTATAGACAAAGGGACTACCTGGCCACAGATCTAAAACTAAAATAGTCTTTGGCCGTTGCTTCCAGACCTCTGACTGGTTTGTGACAAGTCACTTCATTCCGTTATCTCAGAAATCCCCAGGAAGTAGCTTTGTGTAAAACCAGGTGTTTTATTGAGTTGCTTTCTGATGGCTTGAATGGCTGTGACTTAACTGGCCTTCCTTTAGCTCTGCTCTGGAAATAAAACTCTGGAACTCGATTGCCCGCCCCCCCCCCCCTCCGCCCCCCATGATTAGATTGGATCCAAGTGCATATTCAAAAGATAAAGTTGTCCCTCCTTCCATGTTTCCCTCAGCTCCCCTCTAGACAGTGGCAAAGTGGCCTTCAATTCAGGCAAGTTCCTGGGGTTTTGTAAAATATTGTAAAATGCAGCCTATCTCAGCTCCACTGTCGATGGAGGCATTTGGTTCTGTATTTACTTGGTAATGTAAATGAGCTGGAAAGCATAATGTAGTCTTATTGTTGCTTCATACTTGGCCACAGCGCAGCTAAGCTAAGCGAAGGGTGTTCAGGAAGCGCTGCCTGGAGGAAGTGCTGGTCGGTTTATTCATTCCTTTGGAACAGTGGTTCTTAGCCTGGGGGGACATCGGACTCAATGGGGAGCTTAAAAAAACCTGATGCCTGGGTTCTCTCCCAAAGATTCTGATTTAATTGGCCTAGAGCTGCGGTCGCTGGCTAACCGGTGGTCCCTGTACCACTGATGGATGGTCCGTGAGATCCGAAAGGTTGGCGACCACTGGCCTAGAGCATCCAGACATGGAACAGGCTTCTCTGGTGAAGCTTTTAGAAGGGTCTGGACTGGGCAGCATTAAAAAAGTTGAGGCCGCCGAAACCGGTTTGGCTCAGTGGATAGAGTGTCAGCTTGCGGACTGAGTGGTCCCGGGTTCGATTCCGATCAAGGGCATGTACCTTGGTTGCGGGCACATCCCCAGTAGGGGGTGTGCAAAAGGCAGCTGATCGATGATTCTCTCTCATCGATATTTCTAACTCTCTATCCCCCTCTCTCTTCCTCTCTGTAAAAACTCAATAAAATATATTTAAAAAAAAAAAAAGTTGAGGCCCCACCCCTAGGGGAAATGGATGTGATTAACTCAGGTGGGGGTTCAGACATTGGTAACTTATGAAAAATTTCCCAGGGATGCCAGTATGTGGTCAAGCCTTAAGACCATTGCTTTATTCTAAAAGTCTACACCTGGAAGGTTTGTGTTTCGTTTTATGTAGTTTTTCTTTTACTCGGAACGTGGCATATTGATGCCAGAATAGTACTGTCTTCACAGGACTATGCCTTGGTGAGATGCTCTCTTTCTGTGTTGAGGAAACCATGAGAAACTGTCCCACGGAACTCTCTGCTGTGACTACTGAAAAGATGTCCATTATACACTGAGTGGCCAGATGATTATGATCTCTGAATGTATAATAATCTGGCCACACAGTGTATATCCTATATAATAAAAGGCTAATATGCAAATTGTCCCCTCGACCAGACCCTATCCATGCACAAATTCATGCACTGGGCCTCTAATGTGTGTGTGTGTGTGTGTGTGTGTGTGTGTGTGACAGAATGGCCAGATTATTATGCATTCAGAGATCATAATCATCTGGCCACTCAGTGTATTCCTCTGTCCTCTTTCTGGGGGCCCTTGGGAGGAATGTGTGTTAGCATTGGAAATGGTGTTGGCTTGTTTTTATCTTTAAGCTTATCTAGCTGATCAGGTTTCTCCTTTTACCAAAAAGTCAGAAAGCTCAGTGTTGAATCGTGGCCCACCTACAGCATACATGTGGATCTTCATGGTGTGCAGTTTTGAGTAACTTTATCACTGCATCCACTTCTTTTTGTTCCTATGCTGTAAGCTTTTGTCTTTCTTGCTTACTTTGAATTGGTTGTCTGAGGTTTTGCTCTCGTCTGCTTTACGTTATTTCTTGAAAATAGGGTATAAATAAGTAAAATTACAAAGTTAGTCTTTGCCACTAACACAGGAACGAGAATGAGAGTGTATCTGTGGGGTGGACGTGATGTGCTGTTAATTCTTGAAAATCTGAACACGTGTGCTCTAGACTTGGCATGACCTAGATTTTCAGGATCCATTCCCGGGAAACACCAAGGATCCTCTTTCGGAGACTCTGCCTAACGGGAGATTTCTGAGGCTTACCCGGCCCTGAGGGCTTGGTGTCAGGACCTGCGCTGGACACTGGGCTTACAAGGGTGGACAATTCAGTGTGGGCTGTAAAAATTACAATGTGGCGAAGGAGACACACAGATTCCAGTCACGGGACCATGCAGGGAGCACTGGAACACACCAGCGGTATCTCAGTCTTAAAATGTCCCAGACTGAACTCAGCTCGTCCGCTCTTCTTCTGTCTGGGTCTTGGTTTTAGTCAAGAAGTACCTCATTACCCTTGTCACCTTAGACACCCAGGCTCAAAATCAAAGTAATGTTTGTTTATTCTTCCTTGTTTACCCACCAACATAACCCCCAAATGAATCTTTCAACTGCTCACTTGCCAAGTTTGACTCACATGTCTTGCACCAACTCCTCCTATTCCTGCTGCCGCGGATGTGGCCTTCAGCTCTCTCTCCTGCGTTGCAGACATCTTGAAATTGGCTTTTCCGCATCCAGTCTTTCCGTTTCAATGGGATTTGGACCTCCGGCTGCCAAACTGTTTTAGGGAGCCCGTGGGTGAGGGGGGTGCTGAGTGGCTGGGGCTCACGCCTGCTTCAACTAGGGAAATTCCAGGTCTTGCCTTTACCTATACAACCTAAAGTTAAACTCTATTTGGCATTTACTAATTAAGAAGTTTAAAAACTGCTTTCAGGTTGAAGCAAATCAAACTACTTCTTTCCTATATACATTCTTCACCATTGCTCAAGCTTTCTGTGTTCAGAGTGGGGCAAAAGTAGGTTTACAGTTGTGAGTACACAAAATACAGATTTTATCCTAGTATTATTATTTATTAGTCATTGTATTATTTTCCCTATGAACAGCTGTAAACCTGCTTCCCCCCTTACCTTGTATTCTTGAATTCTCAATACCATTCTCTCCTCTTACCCACTTTGTATCTCACATCCCGATCTCTGCATGATCTGGGTCATACCAAATGAATCCTGCTCATTCCAGATGCCATGCTTTCCATGAATCCCCGGCCCAGAAGAGCAGGCCTGTCTTGCCTTTGAACTCCTGTGGCCTTCCTTTGGTTTCTTGTAGCACGTGGTTTCTATTTTAGTACCGCTGTCACTTTCATTCATGGCTTGCCCTCTCTGCTAACCTGAAAATGCCAAAAGGCAGGTCAGTTATCTCAATCTTGGTATCTTCCACGGGAGCCGGCGGATTGCTGGAGCTACTAATTGTACCTATTGGGTGCCAGGTCCTTCGTTGGGCATCCAGAATGCAGAGGTTGTAGATGACACAGCCTCTGGCCTTAGGGGGCTGTAAAAAAAATCTACTGAGCAGGATGGCCTGGCCAAGGAGCTCTTCTCATACAATTGGGTAGAAGCCACCAAGGTCCCTAGGAGCTGGGGGCCATGCTCATAGCTTCTGGGAAAGTTTACCTATCTTACGGGATGAGCGGAAGTCTTTCCAGATGAAAGAGAGAAGAAGATTCTAGGTAGAAGAAACCTGAGGCTACAAGACCAACAGGGGGAGAATGGTGCCAGAGGGACCTAGTTGTGTGGCTTGAGAAGCATGTGTAGGGCAGGGAGAAGAGAGAGGCAGGGGCCGTAACACCCTGCGAGCCCTTGACGGGTTTTATGCAGGAAAGTGATAACTTCAGACCTTGGATTCGATGAAAGAAGAAGCAGTGATTAAAAGGTAGTAGGAAGATCTCCGCTCTGAACACCCCATCTTCTGATATCAGCTGCTGCAGCACCAGCAGCAGGAGAGACTCCGGTGTTGGGAGTCGGTGCAGGTGGGAGCGAGGCCATTCCTTCTGGAAGAATGGAGAGCCTCCCTGTACAGAGAACCTGGGACTCGTAGTGGCTCTCTCCTGGGGTATTTCAGGGAGGGAGTCCTGATCAATACAATCATACGGGACGTAATAGGTTTTCAGATGTTAGTTTTAAAACAAAGTAGTGGGAAATTGAGTTAAATATTGCTCTTTTGATTGGAAGTGCTGTAGTAGTTCGAGTAAGACCATCACTGAAAGCTGGAGTAGTCACTGATGTTTAGTAAGACCTGAGTTATCCCTGAACCTTGAGAGAAGTTGGATGGGCCACGGGGACCGGAGTCCCTCTGAGCAGGTAGGGAACGAGCTGAGGAGGAAGCAGAGGAGCAGTTGCGCGGTCTGGCTGGGAGGGGAGGAGAGCGGCGGAGGCAGGACAGCTGGGGGCGGGGCTGGGCCGAGGCGCCGCAGTCCTGGAAGGCCAGGCGCTTCTCCTGTGAAACGTCAGGGGAAGCTCCTGGTGGGAGAGGTGGGTTTCAGCCCCTACCCCTGGGAGCCTTTTCTTCTTGTGTAAGGATGGGCTGTGGGTGCAGGGGGAATCTGTCAGGCTGGGCCTCAGGTGGGCAGGCTTGTGCTCTAACGGTGCGATGAACGAAGGACATTGGAGTGACTTTTTCTAGCTCGTGGTCGGCAGCATGGAGAGTCAGATCTGACTTGGGGGCCACGTGTGATGTTTTGAAAACCATCTCAGTACAGTTGGAGCGGAGCCAGGTTGCAGACAGTGAGGAAGTGGAGGTTTCTTAGAGGCAGCGGCTTGTTTGAGGAATCGGGTGAAAGGAAGGGAAACGTGGTGGTTACGGGGACATTACGTAGAGTCCTTAAGGGGGGCCCATAGAACCTGGTAAGGTTGATTCCTTACCAGTTCTTACCGGTATATATTCACTCACTCATTCATTCATTCATTCATTCACTCACCAGTGTTTGTGTGTCGGGCATTCTGGCCCCTCTCCCTTTACTTCAGTCCGGACTTAGTGCCAGGGCAGCCTCTTCACGGTGAAGCAATGACAGGGCTTGGACTAAGGACACCTGGCCTGACACCCGGTCTTCTCCCCTTTAACTGGAGCTGGAGTCAACGTTTCCCCCTCCGCTCCCACGGGAAAGCCGCAGGTCTAGTGTCGGTGTGATTCCGGCTGAGTGTTCCTAGCGCTGCCGGATGTTTCCAGAACCTTCTAAACAACGGGGCTTTTCGGTGTGCGTTTCTGTGTGTGTGATTACAACAGGTAGAGTGGCATCCCCAGCTCCTGGAAGTCCCGCCCCAAACCCAGTTTGATTACACCGTCACCGACCTTGCTGGCGGCCCAAGGCCGCCTTCTCCGTTCGACTCGCAGTACCGAGGGACCGTCCTGAAGGTGAGCCGCTCCCTCCGCCGGGAAGCCCTGCAGAGGTCTGGGCCTCCCCGGGGCCGCGCCGGCTGACAGGAGCCTCCATTCTCCCCTCGGGCCTCCCCACCGCAGGGGGGCGTGCTGGCTGGCCAGCTGACCAGCGTGGGCATGCGGCAGATGTTCGCCCTGGGAGAGAGGCTGAGGAAGAGCTACGTGGAGGACACCCCCTTCCTCTCGCCAACCTTCAACCCACGTGAGATCTTGTGAGTTCTTGAAAAGCGGAGGTGGCACCAGGGTAAGGTCTGGAGCAGGAGGAAACCGGATTCCCACTCTGACCGGAGGGCGCCGGGGCAGGGGCCCTCCTGAGACGGATCCTGTGGGACGGGGTCCTTGGCGTCACATTCGTTGGCTTTCGGTGCCTGGGGCAGCCGTCCCAGAGAGGAGAGCTCCCCGCCCGAGCTCTGAGGAATTACTAGTGTAAGTAATGAAGTCTTCCCTTTTGAGTCCCGCCACCTTCTTGTTTTTTCCAGTGTCCGTTCCACTAACATGCATCGGAATCTGGAGTCGACGCGGTGCTTGCTGGCTGGGCTTTTCCAGTGTCAGAAAGAAGGTTCGAATTGGAGTCTAAACGTCAGCCCCTGCCCCTGGGGAGCGTTTTCTTCCTAATCCCAAAGCCCCGCCCCCTTCCTGGGGCCTTCCTGGGGCCTGCTCCCCGGGCCTCTCCTGCACGCGTGGCTTCCGTGGCTACCTGCTCCCGTGGCCCTCCTAGAGTGGGCTCCTGCCTGGCCCGCCTCATCGCCATGGCTGCAGGGTGAGCCAGCTGCTCTGATGGCGCTCTGCCTCCTCCTCCTCCTCCACCTCCTTCTCCTCCTCCTCTTCTCCTCCTCCTCTCCTCCTCCTCCCTCTCTTCCTCCTCCCCCCCCCCTCACCTGCACAAGCTGAGGAGGCAGCCCTGCGGCCCTGTGAGCAGTGGGGGGCTTTTTGCTCAGGGGAGACACTGCTGAGAGGAGGAGGGAGGCTGGCTGGGACCGACGCCAGTGCCGTGGCCCTGGGCTTGGTGGCCAGCCGCCCGTGACCCAGGCAGTAGCACCAGCACTCGCTCGCCTTGCCTAGTGAGAAAGTTGATGGAGTTCAGATTTTGACAAACTCAGCCGTGAGGGATGGCAGCGAGTGGTTCCCAGCTCTTTCCCCACCAGGGCCGCAGCTCATTGCCCTCAGGGGCCCGGCACTGAGGCCTCTGCCTATCAAAGGAAGCTGCATTTCCTCACATACAGCTGATTCAAATGCACACTTAGTGGCTGGCGTGAGTTTCAGCTCAGCATGACCTCACTGAGAGTAAAATACGACAGTGGTGCCGTAAGCCAGAGGCTCTGGTTGTTTTGTGCAGCTTCTTTAGCAGCATCTCAAGTAGCTGTGACATGTCCTCAGGCTGTTAAACGTACAGGTACAAGGATGGAAACCCCAGACCCAGGGAGGCTGGCCTGCTCCCAGCCGGTTGGTGGAGCTGCTGCTTCCTGCTGAGGGTGGCTGCTGTGTATGTCTGAGAAACACAGCGGACTGGATGGACTGCCTCTCACTTCCAGGAGCCCCTGAGCTTAGGAACAACCCACAGAGGCTGGCCTTCCAACAGCTCTTCCCTCCTCCGCCTTGGGAGGCAGCATCCTCTTCTCAGAGGCGGCTACGGCTGCCGGGGGAGAGCTGTTCCTTGGTGCGGGCTGGTCTGCAGACAGGCCCGACGAGGCTGCCTGCGCTCAGGCAGGAAGGAATGTGTCCTCAGCCTCTGGTGTGGCTGCCGGGAGCAGCTCCCTGCGCGGGACCAGCTCTTGTGGAACTCCCACTGGACTCTGTCACGGCCACATCACACCTGCCATACCTGGACCATATCGAGGGGCTTGAATAGACCAGAGAACCCCACAAGGTTACAATGGATGGAAGTGGTGATCTTTGGGATGTTGTTTCAGGAGTGAACGCTTAGAGAAACCCCAGAGGGTTGTATTTGGGCTAGGGCAGGGGTCGGCAAACTCACTAGTCCACAGAGCCAAATATCAACAACACAATGATGGAAATTTCTTTGGAGAGCCACATTTTTTAAACTTCTTCTAAGGCCACATCTTCAAAACAGACTCACCCAGGCCGTGGTATTTTGTGGAAGAGCCACACTCAAGGGCCAAAGAGCCGCCTGTGGCTCGCAACCATGGGGTTAGGGAATCGGGCTGAGTGAGACACTGGAAGTTGCTGGTCTGTCCATGTGGTCAGTCATTCGGTCAACATATATTTGAGTGCCAACCCAGATGTGCCTCCTTTATCATACAATTTCCAGACCCCAATACCAGATAAAAGTTATCATGTTATATCAAAGGTTTAAGTTACAGGAGTTATGATTCTAACATTGAAAGGACTTGCATTCACCAAACATTATCCTTGAGGCAGGCAACGATGTCATCACTTTACAGAGGAGAGGACTGAGGCCCAGAGAGGCGCCGGGACTTTCCCAGGACACAGAGCGGGTGGGTGGCGGAGCGGGAGTCACACCCTGGGGTCCGGTCGCAGAGCCCACGCCCTGCACCTTCGTCCTCTAAAACACGTGCCTCTGGAGAGCCCTCGGGTCACGTGACCCACGAAGTGTGTCTGCATTGACATTCTGGTCTAGTTAGCACAGCCTGCCTGTCGAGTCCTGGGCTCTGACGGTCACTAATTTGGGAGTACTAGTTCTTTGGGGCCTAGACTCTCCTAATCCTCCACCGATTGACCTCGGCCAATTCCAAAGAGCTGGGGACGGAGCTCTGACCGTCAGAGGTCAGGCTTGAGCTCTGCAGACCGGGCAGCTCCACAGGCCCCGCGGGCCTGGGACGGAGCAGAGCGTGCGGAGGTGTGAGGTCTCTGAGCATCGGAGGGAGGGGACAGTCTGTGGTGGCCCAATAAGGTGGGTGTGCACACGGCTACCACTTGCCTTCTCCATCGTCAGACCAGAGGGCGCTCCTGTGGGCGGGCCGGGCTGTGAAGGCGCTCACTGTCCTGCGGGAGTGACCTCGATGGCCTGCCTGCTGGAGCGGCTGTCTGTGCAGGCGAGAGAAGAAGGGGAGGAGGAGCCAGCTGAAGCCTCTTCCTGCCTGAGCCCCCCTTCCTCCAGGACCCATCGTCATCCACACGGACGAGGCGAGCTCTGAAGTCCTGTACCCCAACTACCAGAGCTGCTGGAGCCTGCGGGAGATAACCAGGTAGCTACCGCACCTGCACATGTGTGTGTGTGGGGGGGGGGGGCTCACCCCGGGGGCCGCTCACACTGGGGGCCGCTCACGGGGCCACTCACCCGGCCCCACAGCCTTTCCTGGTTTCAGCCATGCTCGGCCACCTGCCGGCTCTGCTGGTGGAGGAGGGGCTCCCACACAGGGATGCTGCTGGGAAGTGAAGGTGTGCTCTCGCTCGCGGAGGCAGACTGGTAGTGAAGGGGCAGGCAGCCTGGGGGAGCCACGTGCTGGGCCTGGGATGGTCCATCGGCCCCGGGTGGCTTCGCTGTCTCCATAGCGTCATTCTCTCAGTAACGGAGCTCTCCGATGGGGCAGGTGAAGAAACTAACAGGTTAATGCGAGATGATGGGGCCAGTCAGCCACCTGCAAACCCAGGTGGGATGGGCTGGCGTGGCTGGTGGCACTGCGCAGTGTTTGGGGATTTCTGGGCTGTGCTAACAGGATCAAGTGTGTGTCCCACAGGAGAAAAGAATGCTGTGTCCAGTTAGGCCTGGGCTATGCTTGCGTCGTTTGGGGTTTAATAAAAGAAAAGGCTATAGTGGGATTTGGAAAATCCAGGCTTTTATTCTAACATTCACAAGGCATTTTTGACCTCACAGAGCCTCAGCTTGCTCGTCTGTAAAATGGGGGTAATGACAGCCAGCCCCTCTGAGTTGCTGAGGATTCAGTGAGGCTCCCAGTGATGCAGGAGGCGTGCTTTGTAAGCTGTTAGTCGCTGTGCACGGTCAGGGAACACCTTTCCTGTTTGGGCAGAGGCCGGAGGCAGGCTGCCTCTCTGCAGCCGGGGATCTCGGAGGACTTGGAAAAGGTGAAGGAGGGCGTGGGCATCGCCAGCAGTGAGGGCGTGGACTTCTTCATGCTCCTGGACAACGTGGCTGCTGAGCAGGTGGGCCTGTCCGTGGGCCCTGCGGGTGGGGGAGTCCAGCGTGGCCACCCGGTGGCCTGGCCCCTGAGTGGGACTGGGGGGAGGGGCGTGGGAGGAGGCTCTGGTTTGCAGGCGGCTGTGAGGGCGGGGGGGGGGCCATCACAGGGACTCATTCAGGAACTATTATAGATCGGTCTCCTGAGGCACGCTGCCCGGAGCACCCGCGCTGGGAGTGCGCTGTGATGTGCAGGGTGGGGCGGGTGGGGGAAGGAAGGAGTCCTTGTGTATCTGTTTTGGAAGAGTGAGTGCACATCAGCACATTAAAGACTCTGGGAAGCCTGTGGTGAGAAAGCTGGTTGGTCTTTAAGGCTGTTTTCCCAGACTTTTGAGCCATAGGACTTCTTCTCTATTAACTTCATGCCGCCCACCGCCAAGTCTTAGATTCCTACGTCAGGCCCCCGGCCGGGCAGCCAGTCCTCCTTTCTGGAGAAGCTGAGGAGCCCGGAGCCGGAAATACACCTGGTGCTCGGGTGTGAGATGGGTGTGAGGCCATAAGACGAGCGTTTGTGAAGTATTTAAATGCCATACTTTCCGTTTTGGGGAAAACGAAGGCCATGGATTACTTGCCTTGTACTATTTTATTCAGCATTTTTTTTTTCTTTCAGAGTTAAAAAAAAAATCTTTTCCATTTTGGAGTAGAAGGGGAGCCCTCAGAAAGGGAGGAAACGGATTTTTCCTGGGCCTCCAGAGCTCTGGGAATAGCTTCCACAGGACCTAGCGCACAGAGCTCTCTGAGCTGCGAAGCTTCCCCCCTCCAAGAAGGCGCTCCCCGGGCCCTGCGGGCTCCGTGGAGGCTGAGCAGCCGCCGGGCTCCGGAGTGAGTGGCGCTTCCCTCTAAGCCCGAACCGCGCCCTTCCAGGTGCACGGCCTCGCGAGCTGCCCGGCGCTGAGGAGCAGTGCCCGGATCATCGAGCAGAGAGCGGTGGACACGGTCTTGTACATGCAGGGCGGAGACAGGTGAGGCCTCCCGGCAGGCAGCGGAGTCCGCTCGGCCCGCCTCCCCGCGTGGGGAGGGGCTCCTCGGAAGCTCACACCTGCCTGCTGGCGGCCTGGGCCCTGCAGGAGCCGCCCCCTGCGCAGGCTCACCGCGGGGCTCCCCTAGGCCCGCGGTCGGCAAACCGCAGCTCGCGAGCCACACGCGGCTCTTCGGCCCCTTGAGTGTGGCTCTTCCACAAAGTACCACGTGCGGGCGCGCACATACAGTGCGATGGAAACTCCGTGGCCCATGCGCAGAAGTTGGTTTTCAGTCTGGGCGAGTCTATTTTGAAGAAGTGGCGTTAGAAGAAGTTTAAGTTTTAAAAAATTTGGCCCTCTGAAGAAATGTCAATCGATGTCCTGTTGACAGTTGGCTCTGTTGGCTAGTGAGTTTGCCGACCACTGGCCCAGGTGGAACTGGAGCTGGGCACCTCGTGCTTCTGTTCACGGTCACAGAATCGGGAGCCACCTCTTGGCTGAGTTTCCTTAACCACTGACATGCCTTTGCTGAAAGTTTCACAGGTGTGGGGTGCGGGGGCTGAAGGAAGGGAATTATGGCTCACTTCGCTCATCCCCTCACGGTTCACAAATAACCTCCCAGTGCTCGCTGTGAGATGGCCACGTCCTGGCCTTATAGTTGAAGGAACTGGGCTCAGTGAGGGCCAGAGCCAGGCCTTGGCCCAGACCTCCCGATGCCCAGTCCGTGTTCCCTCCGTGTGGCTGTGGGCCTGCTTCCTGACGGCAAAACCTGCTCTTGTGGCTGCTGAGCATGCTCAGCTTGCAGGCAGCGCAGGTGACTTGGTAGAGGCGATGGGAAGCAGAGGCACAGCCCTGGGAAGGCATGGGAGGAGGAAAGCAGCCAACATTTCGAGTATTTGCAGTCTATGGCATAAGAATGAGAGCCTCTGCCGCTTCTTCCCACTCTGGTCTGTGTCCCCTTCCTCACTCACACGGGTTATAAGCTCTGGCCGCACCTCGCAGCTTATAATCACCCCCCCCCCCCCCAACTTGTCCTTCCGAATCTGTTCCTGAAGTGCCCCACCAGACTGCCCTCCCTCCATCAATACACGCACACACACACACGCACACACACACACAGTGCTTTCTCCTGGGTAAAGCACATTAAGTGAGACCTGGTCACTCTCCTTCTATTCCAGTCAGTCCTGGTCTCATGAGAGAGATGTTTCCACACCTTCTCAGCACCTTCCAACATGGCTTGGCCTCCACACACTTCCTGGGAAGCGTGTTCTACATAGCTATTGGTTGCCTGCTCATCTATGGCTTTAACGCTCCTTGCTTTTAAAGGTGGCCGTTTATCCAGTCACATGAGTAAGAATTGGGCTAAGCCAATCACGGCGGCTCCATCCGCTTTCGCCGGCGATTGGGTTCTGGGATTCTGGGGGAGGTGCCTTTTCTCTTCGATAAAACGTGAGAGGCACCAAAGCCAAGTCCTTCGGCCGCTCGCCGGCCCGTTCTGCTGCTCTGTGACCAGCCTGGGGGTGACCGCACCGCCCTGCGAGCACAGGAACCCGACCATGAGCTGCTCGCCCAGATCTAAACGAGGAGGGAGGCGGCACCAGGGAGCTGCTGGGTGTGGCTCCCTGGATTGCTTTTCTCGGGCCTCGGGGATGCCTGGCAGTCATGCCACCTGCCCTGGCCAGCTCTGCCCTTCATTCCTGAGGGCCTGCCCTGTCCCCTCCGCCTCCCAGCCAGGTGTGCGTCCAGCTCTGTGTCCTGGGCCTCGGGTGTTGGGAGCGTGTGAGCGCAGAGAACCTCACCCCGGCGGCAGCGCCGCGCTCCTTCCGGCCGCCGCCGTCCCTGGTGCTGGACTTCCCCTGTCTCGCTCTGTCCGGCTCGGCCTGTGCCGTCCGCGGGGCAGCACAGGCCGGGCTCCTGAGCCGGGTGACGGCGGCGCCTCGTGTTGTCTCCTGGCCACAGGGAGAGTCTCCAGATGGCGGTCGGACCGTTTCTCCACCTCCTGGAGCGCAACCTGCTGACGGCCGCGGGCCCTGCCACGCCGCCGGGCAGCCACAGGTACGCCCAGCAGCTCAGCCTGCCGCTGAGGGCAGCGGGCCTCCGCCTGGAGGGAGGGCACCGGGTCTAAGGGGCAAGAACGGTCACGCTTTTACCTTTCTTCCTGCGACACCCATCCTGCCACGTTTTGAAATTTTAATTTTAGCTAAAGAACCCTAAATTAATTTTCCTATTTTTGTACTAATTGAACATGTGTCCAACAGAGTAGCTAATTTTGATATCCCCCATTTGATATTGCAATAGCCCAAAGCAAAGATAACTGGTTAATAGACCGGTTAGCTAGAGTGCGGTCATGAGGAGGGAAGGGTGTGACACACTCGGTTTGAAACGTCGGAACCTCCAGCACCGCGTGTGCAGGGGGCGCCCCGAGGGACCGCGGTGTGGACACTGAGTGTCCTGTGCGCCTTCCAAGCCACGTGTGGTCTGTGGGGGCGGCTTTGCCATCGACTGGGCTTGTGAGCTTCTTGGGCCCGGCCTTGCCTGCTGAACCGAATCTGGGTCTCAGAGGACCCCAGAGGGAAGGCAGGGACAGTGTGTTCCAGCAGGAACCGCAGGAACTTGGGCCAAGATTTATAACAGCAAGTTGTGGGCCCGCCCCTCCCGCCCATCACAGTCCCCTGGCGGCCAGACACTCCTGTAGCCTTTGCCGCTCTGGCCCAGGCCTTGCGTCTGTAGATTCCTGCCGGCCCCAGGCCTGGTCCTCTCGTTTGGGGTCAACAAATAAATGATCTTTCCCAAGAGAGAGATTTAGGGGTCAGACAGATGTGGCTTGAAATCGCAACTTTATTACTAATCAGCCATTTGGAGAATGTGGGGAGGGCCACGCAGGTGCATTAATATTTCTTTGAAATGAACTTAATCCCCCTCAAATGCAAGCTTCCGTGGCTCGGAGGGGCCTCGCTCTCCTGAACTCATCCCGCGGTGAGGAGGAGGAGCATTGGCGTAGGCAGGCGGCTCTGAGAGGAGAGGCAGGCCCGGCGCACATGCCCAGTGTCCTCTCTGAACTCCCCGGGAGGACCCGTGGACAGGCGTGGAGCCCGAGGCAGCAGGAAGCCAGAGGGACACCCAGCGGCCCCTGCTTCGTGGGGGCAGCAGGGCACAGGCTCCTCCCATCTCCGCCTCAGGGTCTGAGCCCGGCTCCCTGACCTCCAGACGCCCTGCCCCGGAGCCAGTGCTCCTGCCGGGAAGGCGGCCCCGGGTCCCGGGACAGACGTGCGAACCGTCTCCTCGTTGCAGGAAGCTGTACCTGTATGCAGCTCACGACGTGACCCTCCTGCCCCTGCTGCTGGCCCTGGGGATTTTCGACCACAAATGGCCGCCGTTCGCTGCTGACCTGACCTTGGAGCTGTACCAGCACCGGCAGTCCCGGGAGTGGTTCGTGCAGCTCTATTACCTCGGGGAGGTGAGACCCGAGGCGGGCGGGGTGGCTGGGCACCTGGTTCCAGCACCGGGGCTCCCTCCTCGGCCCAGGGGGACCTCCCCGGGACAGCAGCTTCCTGCGTCCTGCCGGGTGGCTATGGCTGTGGCCCGGATGGCCAGGCATGGCCGCTGGAGCAACAGTGGCCAGTCGGTGGCCCACAGGCCCCTAGTGGCCCGTGAGGTCCGGAAGGCCGTCAGCCGCTGCTGGAGAGGGCGGCTGGAGCGGGGGCCAGGCACCCCTTTTTCCAGCGGGCGCGGGGTGTAAATCCTCCCTGGAGCTTGTTGTGAAAGCTGGTGATGGCGGCTGGAGGGTCGTGCTGTCAGCGCTCAGGCCTCGGCTGCTTCGGCGGGTGGCGGTGGGGCAGAGGCTGGGGCAGCCCAGGGACAGACCCAAGCCCCTCCCGCTCCGGCCGACTGGCGTGTCTCCCAGCCGGACCGGCACACGGTGCTGCGGGCCTGCAGGAGCGGCCGGTGCTGTCCCTCGGAGCTGGCGGGGGCGTGTCCGCCCGCTGCCCTGTGCGGCGTGCAGACCCCGGGCGCGCCTCGCTGACGCCCCTCTCCGCAGGCGCAGGTGCCGCGGGGCTGCCCGGACCCGCTGTGTCCGCTGGACCAGTTCCTGAACGCCTTGTCCGTGTACACCCTAAGCCCAGAGCAGTACCGCGCGCTCTGCTCTCCAGCCCGGGCGACGGAACTCGGAAAGGGAGAGTGACTCTTCCCCAAGCAGACGTGCCGACTTTACAATAAAACGCCCTGCACAGTGCCTATCTGGTGTGTTTGGGAAAGGCGGGAGCGAGCGCGAGTCTGCTCTGCGTGGCTGGTTCTGCTCAGTGGTTGGAGCGTTTCCCGCAACCTGAGGGGTCGTGGGTTCGATTCTCCATCAAGCATGTGTGCCTCAGTTTTGGGTTCACTCCCCACCCCCAGTTGGGCGGTGGAGGTAAGAGGTCAGCTGAAGGTTGGTCACTGCGGGGCAGGAAGATGGAGCCAAGCTCTGGAGGCCCCGCAGGGGATGCTGGGAGGCGTGACTTCTGGGGCTGGACCTCGGGGAGAGACCAGGGCTCCACAGTGGAGGCTGATCCACTCGGCATGGAGCTCCGCCCTAACTCAGCGCCAAGGGCACCTGTCAGCCCCCCTATTCCCTTATCCGCTTCCTCTTCCTTCCTCAGAATCTTTCCAACAACCGACTCCTTTACAATCACTAAGCCTCTCCACTCCCACCCACCTTTCTGCTGACACTCCCAGGACTGCTACTCAGCTCAGGATTCTCTTCTGAGCTGCGACACTCCTGCCCACTGGGATGTACCAAAGACACAAATTTTCCATGTCAGAATCCAACCTCCCTCTCCTGCTAACCCTCCCTCACACGCCTCCCTTTCTGAATGAACGTCCCTCCACCATCCACTCAGTTGCTAAACCAAAAGTCTGTCCTTGTCCCCTTATTCGCACGGTTTCCTCTGTTTTCATCAGTTCAGGTCTGTCCTGCCTAGTTCATTTTGTGAATCTGTTCCCATCTCTGTGTCCGTGATCTTCAGTATCCCCTCCCCTTCTTCTCTCTGATAATAACTAAGAAAGTAAAAGCAATCGGGAGAGAGATGTGGTCCCCCCACCACGACCACCGCCGAGTCTGCTCACCCATTTGTGTTGGTGGCCAAAGGCCTTCCTGATACTGAAAATGGACCATCCCTCCTCCTACCCACGGCCGACCCTCCAGCTCCACACTGACTCCTCGTCTGCGTGTGGATTTCCTCTTCCTGTCAGTCCCTGCCAGCAGCAAACAAAATACACTGTACAGTTTCCTGTTAAATTTTCTCCCACATCTTGGAACTGTGCTCTTTTTCTCTCTCCCCTTTTCATCAAAACTTCTCAAAGGAGTTCCTCACATGTGCCACCTCAGACTCATCTTGAACCAACTGTGATTAGGTGGCCATTCCTTCCACATCCGTGCAGACGGCTCTTGTCAAAATCATCAGTGGCCTCCGAGTGCTCCATCCAGTGGCCACTGTCCCTTCTTCTTTCTCAGGTTCTTAGCAGCAGCCTTGAGATTTTTTGTCATTTGCTGCCATGACAGATACTCCCTGCTGTCCCTCCAGCTTCTCAACCTCTCAGGTTTTTGCTGAGTCTAAGTGCTGAGGTGTCTCAGGACTCAGTCCTTTTCTCCTACACTTATCCCAGTGACCTCATTGATAAAACGTCCCCTAAATTTATATCTTAAATCTGAACCTTTCCCCTGAATTCTCATTTCCAGTTGTGTCCTCACTAGCACCACGGGGGTATGTAAGATATTTAATATATATTAAACTTCCCCTTGTCCACGGTCAACTCTCAATTCTCTCACTTCCTCACCTAGCTACCTCACCAGCTACCTCACCTAGGCAGAGGGCACCACTGTTCACCCAGAGGCTTGGAATTTCCCTTCATTCCTCTTCCTCTCACATCAAATCCATCAGTCAGTCCTGTTGGATCTCTTCAAAGTGAATCCAGAATTGGCCACTTCTCAAGGCTTCCCTCGCTGCTGTCTAGTCCCAGCATCGTCTCTCGCCTGGCCTTATTGCAAATCCTATTTCTGCCCTCTCCCTCTCCCCCATTTTAGTCTCAGCATGGCCATTGCTTTTAAAACACAAGTCAGATCACATCAGTCTTCTGTTCTCAACTCTCCCCTGGCTTCCTGAATCACCGAGCCAGTCATCACTGGCCCCACGCCCCAGGACACCCTCGCCTTCTCCTGTCTTGTATGTCATGGAACCCCAAGTCCTGTCCTCACTGGGATCTTAGCCTGCGCTGTTTCCTCTCCCTGCAATGTGCTCCTAGACATTCGTATGGTTGGCTCCCTCCTTTCACGCAGATCTCAAATCAGAGGCCCTCCCGTATTATCTACATAAAATATTCCAGACCCTCCCCTCCCTCTGTCTAACTGGCTTCTGGCCTCTGGTATGGGCTGAATCGTGTCCCTTAGAATTCTTATGTGGAAGTCCCAGCCCCCAGTGTCTCAGATGTGACTGGAGGCAGGGCTTTGAAAGAGGTAATTAAGGTAAAAAGAGGTGTATGGGTGGACCCCAATCCGATATGATTGGGGTCCTTATAAGAAGAGGAAGTGAGGCACAGAGGGAAGACCAGGTGGAGACACCGGGAAATGGCCGTCTACAAGCCAAGGAGGAAGGCTCAGAAGAAACCCAGCCCCGCAGACACCGTGCTCCCGGACCTCTGGCCTCCAGAGCTGTGAGGACAGTAAGCCACCTGGTCTGCAGTATTTTGCGATGGCGGCCCTAGCAAACCCACTCGCCTGTCCTCTTCCCCACCATGGTTTCACCAGCTGGATATTACACATGGGTGACGTATTTGTTTATCTCTGACGAGGCTGTGAGCCCCATGGAGACCGACTTTACCTTTCACCGATGTGTCCCACATCAAGAGTAGTTCCTGGCTCTGGCTAGTGTGGCTCAGTTGGTTGAGCATCATCCCACGCACCTAAAGGTCACCAGTTCAACTCCCGGTCAGGGCACAGGCCCAGTTAGTGGGTTCAATGGAAGGCAACTAATCGATGTATCTCTCTCATGTCAATGTTTCTCCTTCTCCCATCCTCTCTAAAATCAATAAAAACATTGTTAAAAGTCTCGTTCTTTAAGGAGTATCTAAAATTGCTAAGCCGGTCATCTGACTTGAAGAGGAAAAAAGAACAGTTGGTGGTGCGTGCAGGTGCTCAAACATCTGTTGATGAGTGGACCTAGCCCTCGCACTGCTCCTCCAGGTTAGTTAGTGACTTCCTAACGGGTAACCCCTTTCCTTGGCTTCTGTCACCCTTTGAGACCTGCTTCCAGCCTCATCCCTCACACCCTCACTCATCCCCTTTAGCCAGACTGAACTCTTTTAAGAAAAAGCTGGCCTCTCACGTGCCTTCAACCCCTGACCCCTAACCTTTGCCCTCTCAGTCCTGCTCAGCTTGATGCCTCCCTGTTTCTGTTTGTCTCTCAGGGCAGGGGGGGCCTGTTCGTCTTGTCTGTTACTGTGTTTTGGAGCCAATACAGACTTGGCACACAGTGGACTCAACCAACATTTGTGGAATGGCTTCTGAACATTTCTACCAGGTGGCTCTGTGCGCTCCTCCCACTCGCCAGCAGGGGGCAGCGTGGAGTAACAGAACCAGGCTCTGTGGGGTTCAAATGCTGACACTGGCCTGTTGCTCTGTGACCTGGACAGGTGGTCTGAGCCTGTTTCCCTCATGTAAGTGGAGGCCCTTCTGCCTGGCAATTAGGGTGGTTGTGAGGCCAGCAAGGTCGCCTAAGACCATCAGAAAACATAGATATTTACATTATGATTCATTAACAGTAGCAACGTTACAGTTATGAAGTAGCAACGAAAATTTTATGGCTGGGGGTCACCACCACACGAGGAGCTGTATGAAAGGGTCGCGGTGTGAGGAAGGTGGAGAACCACTGGTTTAGTAGCTCAACTCGACTGACAACTAGACTAGAGAATCTCACCAACGCCTGCGAGACGTTTTGCAGTTTGGGAAACAAAATAGATCCCAGTGACCCGTGGTCCCTGTGACTGCCTGGGTCATGTGATGCCTCATTTCCAGCCAGGTGTGACCCAGCGACTGCGTGCCACGTGGAGAACCAAACCCAGGGTCCCCGGAGGCAGCTCTTGGAGGAGCCGTGGGCGTCGGTGTGGAAAATGTGTGTGTGGGGGTGGTGCTGGGGGAGAGGGAGTAGGAGCTCCCAGAAGTTGGTGAAGATGAGAAATAAACCCGGGCACCCAGGAGTCTTTAACAGAAAGATCTTAGTCTGTGGAAAAAACAAAAACGATTTAAACACCTTGAACACTTAAATCCCCCTCAGCACTAATTAACCAGATACCAAATACCATTGGGATTTAGAAGCTCTTTCTGCCCCCGGCCCTGGCCCCAGGTGCTAACGAAGGGGGGGGGGGGGCGTCCGCAGGGCAGTGGGCAGGACAAGGCGAGAACCAGGCCCCTGGGAGCCGCCCCACCCAGCCCTGCACCCCCTCTCCCCGCACTCCTGGGGCTTTTTTCTAAAACCCTGTCCTTTGGGAGCCCGTGGCCCCTCGTCATCGCCGGGGGCTCCAGTGGGCTATTGTGCAGGGAAGACGGAGCCCCCGTGGGTCTGGTGGAACACGGCCTTCACGCTCTGCCCGTGCAGGGAAGTGGCTTCTGACCTTGTCACCTCCTCTGCCTGTGATCACACCCTCCTTCCTCCGGCAGCCTGAGCGCCCAGCCAGAACGGCAGCCGCTGAGGGTCCTGGCAGCGAGCAGAGCCGCCTGTCACAGGACCCAGGGCGCGACCTGGCAGAGAGGGAGAAGCCGTGTCTATTCCCATCCTTCCCATCACACACCTTCTTCCTCCCCTTGCTCATTACTTCACATCCTCCGCTGTGGAGTGATGGGCCACGGACTGGTTTTTGTGCTTTACAGACCATATGCTTTATCTGTGTCACTGCAGTGTTACCCCAAACTGAGATTCCGTGGTCTTTCCTAAACGCAGGAGTCCGTGACTTTGGTCCGGCTTAGCGGAAAGTGGCAGCGGGGCTCAGGTTATGTAAATGGTGTGGCTGTGCAATGTGATGTTTTTGAAAACAAAAGAGATGCGTCTAGGATTCTGTAGAACACGCGAGCCAGGGGCGGGCGCTCTCCCCGTGTTCACCCCGCGCAGCCCCAGCCCGTCTTCCTCACCCCCGCCAGGCTTCTGCAGAGTCACCCTGACCCCCCATTCCCTGTCTTAAGCCTTTGGAGTTCACAGTCCTTC